AGGAGATTCTTTCACGCGATGGGGTACACTGAAAGCTCAGGTTGGGATCAGGGTTGTGCATGTGTGTTTTTTTTTTTTAAGTGGAGTGGGCTGGTTCTCTCAAAAATTCATGAAAATCCTCCACTATACGTTTAAAGCTTTAAATATTAATGTTCAGTGAAGCTCTATCTGAAGCTGTTTCCCAAAGAATAACACAATCTTTCCAAATATTTAGTCTATTTTATTAATCATTATTTAAAATTAAGCATTTCCTTTTTTACAACTAAACTTAAATACAGATAAAATTTTTTCATAATATGAAGTTTATCCAAATTTGAGAACTTTGATCAGTGAGATAAACTGAATATTTGCTCTGCTTAGTAACTACTAGGGGTGGAACGGTTCACAAAATCCACGGTTCGGTTCGGTTCATGGTTTCGTGGTCACGGTTTTCGTTTTGGTATATGTTGATTGTTAGGAAAATCTACTATGTCTTGTATAGTACAACACGTGTAACACGTGTTGCACAATGCTTTTTTTTTTTATTAAGTCAACAAACATTTACATGAAAAAATACTCTCAGAGAGGATAGCAAAGGTGAACATGAACAGATAAAGATCAATTATAATAAAAGAAAAACGAAGAAAAACAACTAACGGGATTTATCTCAGCAAACATTTAAAACAAACATAGACAGAGCCATAGAAATAATAAAAACAAAAAGGTGAATGCACTTAAAATAGCAGATGTTTGAAGAAATAAAGTCTCAATTTTTTAGCATGTTTTTCATTTTTTATCTTCTTAAAAAAAGATTTTAAAGTCATTCATAAACCAAAAAAAGGAAGGTTTAGCATTTCTCCATTTAGCAGAGTGGATATGATATTTACCCAACAGCAGGAGGACATTAATAGTATAAGAAACAGGCTGGGGAAGATGGTCCATATAAAAAAATGACATCATTTAGTGCAAAAGGGGTGTTGCACAATGCTTGCACACTGTTGCACTTTTATCCACAACTTTCTTTCCGCCGTCATCGTAGGTCACTCTAAATGCAAAGTGGTCCCATACAGCAGACCTATAAAGTGCTGCTGGCGCGTCTTCCAACTCCTGTTCTTTCCCACTCGCCATACCCACACAATTCTCCACAACAACTGATTTTTTTCTGCTACACCCGGCTACGCTGCTTCGCTTCTTCTTTTTGTTTACTACTGGTGGTTGGCTTTGGTCGCAGTACTGCCTCCTTCTGCTCTGGAGTGTAAACGCTTCGCCTCTGAAAAAAAAAGGAGGAGCGCATGAACCGAACGCAACACGCGCGAATCGAACCGATACAGTCGAACCGAACGGTTCGGACGGTTTTCATAAACCGTTCCATCCCTAGTAACTGCTGACTTCTCTTGCAGTAACTGAGTTACTAACTGAGTGAATGTAGCAGGAAAGTATAACCAGGGCATATTTAAGACATGTTCCCAACGTTGCTGTGCAGCATTTTCTAGCTGCTCCTATTTAAGCTGTTTGATTTCATGTCCGTTTGAGTTTAATTCTGTTTTTGAGATCAGCCTGGCCTCTTAGACTGGTTTGGAAGCTGTTCTCCTCTGGTTTCCCCCTGTGGTTGCAGGACTTTCTAACAAACCGCATACAGAGGCTCAGGGTGGCCCCCACACCTCCTTCGCCACAAGAGTTAGCTTTGGCTCCGCTGGGATGTGTGCTTGGCCCTCTGCTCTTCACCTTTACACACACAACCACGCCACCGCCGTCCATGAAATTGACACATTTAACTCCTGTGGTGGGACTTATCTCCAGTAGGGATGAATCCACATGCAGGGATGAAGTGAAGCTGTAGGGATGAAATCATTTGCTTCCGAACACAGCAAAGACCAAGATGCTAAATATAACCAACCAACCAGTATACCTTAAGGGAAACTATAGACGAGGGCATTGGACTTGTCCTTCAGTGGTTTTAACTGATTGTTTTCTACTTTTTTTAAGAAAGAAAAAAAACAATTCTGTTTTAGCAAATAAGTTAGTTCTTTGGTAAAATGATAAAAGCCAGCTAAAGTAGGAAGGAAGGTGAATTTTTTCTAAGAGGTCAAAGTTCAAAGGTTGTTTCCATGTAAAACTAACATCAACCTTCAATAAGGTTAGTGATAAAACATCCATGTTCCAGATATAAGCAGGCGGGTTCTGCTCAGACCAGCAGATCTAAGCTCAGATGTTTTTCCCAGATTGTTTAAGGACTAAAACAGAAGGTGAATAAAAGCCATGCAGAAGTTCTAAAGGATCATTTTCTCTTCAGTTTCATCCGTAAAGGCTTTAGGAACGATATATGGAAACGAGCTGCTTCAGCCAATGTAAATATTTGTGGAGCTCTCACCTTTTCAGCGTCACTATGAAGTGATTTATTCCCCTTCCTCTGTCAGAAGCTCAAATCCAGCAGACAGAGGCTCCCCGGCCTCTGCCAGCCCTGATGGATTCAGAGCCCCCACAAAAACGTTCGGCCCGGCCCACAAATATGTGCGGTGGTCGGGGGTTCTGCTTCGACAGCAAATCCAGCCCAAACGAGACCCCCCTCCTCCCCAGGGCTCATTTATCACACAGGATGGTTTTTCTTCATGAAGCTTTTACAACTTGGCACAAAGAAATAAACTCAGGCTGCTTGTTTTCTTTGCACTGCATTCAAAACACAAGTTTAATTTCCCTCCAGTCAGACCAGCTGAGGTCAATGATGTCTTTATTATTTTAGTGGACGTCCAGAACAGAAGCTAGATACTTTCCTCAATCCTCTTTTAGCTCTGCTGGAGTCTGTAAATCTGCATCTTCAGTTAAAATAAATCTTAATCTTTTAAATAAACACTAAACCTGGAGAACAGGATGTTTGCTGCCCCAAAAAATCAAATGCATGGTGGAGAATATTTAAAACGCCCTGAATGGCTCAGATAATCAAACTATTAATTGACTGTTATTCCCAAAATATTTGTTTGTCTGAAGAAGAGGTCAGCCTGAGTCCTGCTAGCAATTAGTGGAAATTTCCAGACTAATCACTCAGTAACGACTGTTTGCAAAACAAAACAAGAACAAATTGTCCAGACCTGACTGATTTAGAAATAAGAGCGTGATGCCATTATTAAGATGTTCAGAAAAGCCTCCTTCCCCTCCAGCACAAAGCTCAGCACAGAGTCTCATCCTTCTACAAACACAGCAGGTCTTTCTTTGCTGAATGCAGGGTGTGTCATACCTCAGGTGTGTCCAGGTTTAAACTCCCGGCTGTGAAACAGCAGCAGAAGGCTGAGAGATGGATCCTCGCTCGGTACGTTCCCAGAGAATGAAGAACAGCATCAGCCTCTTTCCTCTGCAGAAGAAAAAAAAAAAAAACATCCCCCAGAAACACCCCCACCAGCGGAAAACCTCAGCTGTTTCAGTAAAGAGCTCCTTCCTCTGTGTCTGAATGTTGGGGACTTGGGTGGGGGGGTGAAAGAAGGCGTTGTAGGGACTTCAGTCATGCGCTTTTCATCAGCAGCTTTGAGGCGATGCCAGGAGACTCCTGCAGGCTCAGGTTTTATAAAGACTATGGTGGGAGGTTGGTCCCCTCCCTACACAGCTGTCTGACATGTTAGATGTTTCACTTTTACATGAATGGAGCCGATTCCAAGGCCCAATGGCACTCCGCTGATTGAGGATGCTCTGGAGGAGAAGCACGCCATTCTGTCGCCTCCAAAGTCACCAAACTCTCCCGGGAGTTCTTTATTATCCTGAACCACATCTGGACAGTCACTCCTCTGTCATTCTGTTTTTGCTTTGGTTTTATGTTTTACATCAAACTGCACTGAGTTCACAGATACAACAACAAATAAATCCACAAAAACGTTGACGTTACATCATGGTTCCCTTCAACCAGGATTCAAAAGCATTTATTATCATTAAGAGAGACTATTTGTTTTACATATACAGGGTTCCCACTGGTCCTTAAAAAGTCTTAAAAAGTCTTGAATTTAACTTGCCTTATGCTGTAGGAACCTTGATATAGATGGACTTCACTTCCCCGTAGACATAACTGTCTAAGGGCATCACCTCCCTACGGTGATCAGAATAACTGAGTTTTTCTTCTGTCCAACATGGTGCTTCTCGCTGATGCTCTCTTGCCTTCAGCTCATCCAACAGGCTGACAGCACCACTGACCCTCCACCGTATGTAGCAATAAGCTTAATCTTAGCACATATTTAAAGTTGGAGCAAAAATGTTTACATTTGTGATAGTAGGACAGAACGGGTGGCTTCCAATGGATGTCATGGAGACTGGAGACCCACTTTTTAGCTCCTTAGTAGGTCTCAGTGTGATGATTAGATGATTTTTGGTCCTCCGCTGGTCTTGTTTGTTATTCTAAAATATAAAAGATTTAAATTCAGCTGGCCACCTGTTGGAATCATTGATGCATTAAGACTAGCTAATGTCTTGCTTACTCTTTTAATTTATTGCAATGTTTCTGTTTATTTTTTTTAATGGATGATTAAGAAAGATGTCGGTGATATGAAACATTCATGTGGAAGTTTTTTTATGGTAAATATTTGTTTTCACATTCAACTTAACGCGATTAAATGACAGTGACACATTTTGTAAAAAGAAGATAGGTGGTTTTAGAGGGGCGTGAAGGAAGCCATCTTTGTTAAGAAAGGAAAACCAACCTTAAACAGAG